TAAAAATGTATATGTTATGGGCAAAGTGATTAATATGGGCATTATTCATAATGCCCGGTCATTATGAATAATGACCAACAAAATCGGGCATTGTAATAAATTTCAATAATTTATCAAATTGACCGGTCATTATGTACTGCTATCATTTAGTCGGCAAAGTGATAATAATGCGTCGAAGAGTGATCATCCAAAATATGCTAGCCAATCAGCACTCGCACCTGAGTTGCGCGTGCGTGTTGCGTTTAGTATCGAATTTGGGGCGGTCGCGTCTGTTCGTGCTTTTGACGGATTCCTCCCGGAGGGCTGCTGCCGACAGGCCGCATATTGTTTAACGTCACTAGATATTGATTCACGGTAGTTCTTGAACACACGTATCAATAACTAGTATGTATCAATATCTAGTGACGTTAAATAATCGGCGGCTTTCCTCCGGGAGGAATCCGTCCAGAGCACAAACAGTTGCGACCGCCGCCATTACGGTGCACTTGGGTAAAATTTTATCATTTAAATAATATAGTTAATAGTACTTAGTTTTAAAAGATTGCATGTTTTTTTAAATACTTTGAAATAATTTACAAAAAATAAATATTTCTAAATGAAATAAGTGGAGTTTTTTTAAATCAAATTAAAATGTCACACAATTTAAAATTCAGTACTAAACGCAATACGCACTCAACACGATACAATCAGCAACTCAGAGCGCCAATTGGCTAGTGTATGTCGGATGATCACTTTTCAACTTATTATTATCACTTTGCCCGACTAGGTGATAGCAGTATTCATAATGACCGGTCAATTTGATAAATTAATGAATATTTATCACACTGCGCGCCCTTTTTGGTCATTATGAATAATGATCACTTTGTCCATAACATATATACTGAATTTGCATACATTCATCTGGTCTTGGAAAAGTGGCAGGTAATTTTTCTAGTCATGTTTTAACGATTTTCATCTATTCATTCTGTAAATTTTTACCGATAATTAATTTATTTATAAATTTTAATGCTATTATTAGGTGATATGTGTAACAAATACTTTCTTTGATGACGTTAGAACGATCGCGAATTCATATAAATGGAAGGAAGTAGTTTTAGAGATTTCTAAATCAATGTAACATATTTGCCTTTGGATACATTGCTAAAAACAGATAATATGAATAAAGTTACTACTAATTATATTGTAGATTCTTTTCTGAACGGAAAATCTTTAACATTACGTAATTCGGTTGGATTCGTGATGCGGCGCATTTTTTGTGTAATTTTTAAATCGCGGTATTTCGCTTCAAAATCGCGCTATATTTAATGTTTTTTGTGTTTGATTAAAAACATGTTACAGTTTACGAACGTTTAATTTTTAGTTTAATATTTTAATAGATTTTAAAATTATCATTTAAATAAAGTATGATTACATATTAAAAAAAATATCTATTCAGAATTTTATATAGAATTAAAGATACTTTTCAGTTAAAGTTTGATTAATTTTTAGCGTATTAAAAATATACTTTCATTATTTCTTATTCAACAATGAAATATGCTAATAGTTACGTTTGAAACACTGTTGTAAGATTTTTTAATTTTTTATGCAATAACGTATCCAGGTAAGAATGAGAAGACGAAAAACTAAAATACTGATTATGAATTTATATTTGCATTGGAATTTATATTTGCATATTGGAAGTCTCTTCATTTTGCTTGCAAGCTGCACCATCATATCAATTGATGATAGAAAAAAACAATCAAAAAATGAAGGGATCAGTTCCGTTTACGCTAAAAATTTGTCTGGAACAAATAAATTGCTACTTTTGAACTTGAAACACAATAATCTAAATANCTACTATTTCAATTCACATACTTTGCACAAAGGACAAGGGCCTCGCAAAGATCTGCCGCCCAGGGCCTCGCAAAGATCTGCCGCCCAGAGCCTCGCAATGGATAAGGCCGCCACTGGCCAAACATATTCAACGTAGATGAGACTGACCAGTTCTGAAAGAAGATGCCTAAAAGAACTTTTATCACCCATGAGAAGAAAAACCTTTCCAGGTTTTAAGGCCGCCAAAAATCGATTGACAGTGACGGTTGGCACGAATGCAGCTGGTGATTGTACTTTAAAATCTCTAGTTATCGCTCGAAAAATCTAAGTGCATTGAAAAATAAATCTAAAGCTGGTTTGCCTGTGATTTGGAAGTCGAATCGTAAAGCTTGGGTGACAGCTTCCCTTTTTTGAGGACTGATTTGGTCATCACTTCATACCTGAAATCGAACGTTATTGCCTATCTAAACAAATTCCATTTAAAGTGATGCTAATAATCGACAACGCACCAGGTCACCCCCCCTGCAACTTTAACTAATTTTGACCCATGTGTGAAAGTTGTATTTTTGTCACCAAATACAACCAGCTTGCTTCAACCGATGGATCAGGGAGTCATTAAAACATTCAACGCTTATTACACGAGACGATCGTTTGCACATCTGCATGAAACTGAGACAAAACAACGAACTCTCTGTTAAAGACTTTTGGAAACAATTCAATGTTTTAGATGCAGTGAGAAAATCATTGGACAATCTTGGAATGAAGTTTCACAAAAAACTTTAAATGACATCTGGAAAAAACTGTCCTTTTTTCAACTTTTTTCCATCACCGAAACTCAGGCGGAATCAGTGTCAGAGCTTGATGAAATTGGTAATGTGATTGAAGAAGTTGTCGATCTTGCCAGGCAAATAAATTTAGAAGTGGATGGTGATGACGTTCAAGAACTGCTGGATTCCCACAATCAGGAGCTGACAATTGATGAGCTCATAGAAATACGTCAGCAAGAGCAAGATATTGAGCTGAGTCTAAAAAATCAAGTTCTTCAATAAGAAGATCGAATGACGGTTGGAAATTTGACAAAAGGCCTCAGTTCAATTGAAAAGGGGTTACAAATTTTAGAAAATATAGACTTCAACGAAGAGCGCATTTCTTCTTCAAAACGAGAAATAAAAAAAAATTATTAGCATGTTACGAAGAAATTTTGCGGGAGAAAAATCTTTGAGCCGTCAGAAGAATTTGTTAGATTTTATGAAGCCTTCTACATCAAAATAACTTTGGTTTACGATTTTAATAATATAAATTGTTATACATATGAATTATCTAAGATTTTATTAAATATTTTTTTCTAAATTATTGTTTTCTTTAGTCTCCGGCCTCAATTAAAAATAATTTGTATGTATTTATATGCGAAATTATACCCAGACTTACGCAAATTCGACTTACGCGGTTATCGCTCGGGCCCACCTATCGCGTAAGTTCGGGGTATTACTGTACTTTATTTAATAAGAATTTCTCTATTTTCACAAATATTTTGTGTTCTGGCAATCTGAAACTTTGATTATACCTTGTATTTAATTATAATCAAACGATCATTTTCTATAATTTTCTATCAAAAATCTTTATTGAACTTTAAAATGAATTTTACATAAAAATGTATATGTTATGGGCAAAGTGATTAATATGGGCATTATTCATAATGCCCGGTCATTATGAATAATGACCAACAAAATCGGGCATTGTAATAAATTTCAATAATTTATCAAATTGACCGGTCATTATGTACTGCTATCATTTAGTCGGCAAAGTGATAATAATGCGTCGAAGAGTGATCATCCAAAATATGCTAGCCAATCAGCACTCGCACCTGAGTTGCGCGTGCGTGTTGCGTTTAGTATCGAATTTGGGGCGGTCGCGTCTGTTCGTGCTTTTGACGGATTCCTCCCGGAGGGCTGCTGCCGACAGGCCGCATATTGTTTAACGTCACTAGATATTGATTCACGGTAGTTCTTGAACACACGTATCAATAACTAGTATGTATCAATATCTAGTGACGTTAAATAATCGGCGGCTTTCCTCCGGGAGGAATCCGTCCAGAGCACAAACAGTTGCGACCGCCGCCATTACGGTGCACTTGGGTAAAATTTTATCATTTAAATAATATAGTTAATAGTACTTAGTTTTAAAAGATTGCATGTTTTTTTAAATACTTTGAAATAATTTACAAAAAATAAATATTTCTAAATGAAATAAGTGGAGTTTTTTTAAATCAAATTAAAATGTCACACAATTTAAAATTCAGTACTAAACGCAATACGCACTCAACACGATACAATCAGCAACTCAGAGTGCCAATTGGCTAGTGTATGTCGGATGATCACTTTTCAACTTATTATTATCACTTTGCCCGACTAGGTGATAGCAGTATTCATAATGACCGGTCAATTTGATAAATTAATGAATATTTATCACACTGCGCGCCCTTTTTGGTCATTATGAATAATGATCACTTTGTCCATAACATATATACTGAATTTGCATACATTCATCTGGTCTTGGAAAAGTGGCAGGTAATTTTTCTAGTCATGTTTTAACGATTTTCATCTATTCATTCTGTAAATTTTTACCGATAATTAATTTATTTATAAATTTTAATGCTATTATTAGGTGATATGTGTAACAAATACTTTCTTTGATGACGTTAGAACGATCGCGAATTCATATAAATGGAAGGAAGTAGTTTTAGAGATTTCTAAATCAATGTAACATATTTGCCTTTGGATACATTGCTAAAAACAGATAATATGAATAAAGTTACTACTAATTATATTGTAGATTCTTTTCTGAACGGAAAATCTTTAACATTACGTAATTCGGTTGGATTCGTGATGCGGCGCATTTTTTGTGTAATTTTTAAATCGCGGTATTTCGCTTCAAAATCGCGCTATATTTAATGTTTTTTGTGTTTGATTAAAAACATGTTACAGTTTACGAACGTTTAATTTTTAGTTTAATATTTTAATAGATTTTAAAATTATCATTTAAATAAAGTATGATTACATATTAAAAAAAATATCTATTTAGAATTTTATATAGAATTAAAGATACTTTTCAGTTAAAGTTTGATTATTTTTTAGCGTATTAAAAATATACTTTCATTATTTCTTATTCAACAATGAAATATGCTAATAGTTACGTTTGAAACACTGTTGTAAGATTTTTTAATTTTTTATGCAATAACGTATCCAGGTAAGAATGAGAAGACGAAAAACTAAAATACTGATTATGAATTTATATTTGCATTGGAATTTATATTTGCATATTGGAAGTCTCTTCATTTTGCTTGCAAGCTGCACCATCATATCAATTGATGATAGAAAAAAACAATCAAAAAATGAAGGGATCAGTTCCGTTTACGCTAAAAATTTGTCTGGAACAAATAAATTGCTACTTTTGAACTTGAAACACAATAATCTAAATATAATTAAGAATTATTTTATTTTAAATAAAATATATTGGCCATTCCAAAAATTCAACAGCAGCAACAAGAGACAACGAAGAGCAATCCATTTTAAAGATTTCAGAAATGGCCATAGACCAATAAGGAATAACAAACGTAAGTGGCCTAAACATCAAGTTCGTCATCGTAAAAATAATCTCAAACAAGCAAAGAAAAACAATAAATTTAAAATTAGAAAGATGAGAAAATTTTATACCATAGAAAATTTCAAGAAGAAAAGATTAGCTAACGAGAAAATAAGCCGTAATGATGGAATAATGTATTTCAATACATTCGAACCTTCATATAAAGAAGAGTTGTTCGTTATTACAACAGGCCTTTTAGGAGGAATATCATTGATTTTGTTAATTAGTTTCATAATATTTACTATAAAAAAGAAGTTGGGATCAAATTCATTACGCATCGAAAATAAACTTACTGCCGCTGATTATGGGATTACTACTACCACGTCCGAATCGGATTTTGATGAAAGTGTAATTAAAGCAACGCGTAAACTTCAATATACCGAATTACCATTAGAATCCAATTTACCGGTTAGATTCGATACGGGTATTCAATGTGTGCCAGATATCAACAAATCTGAGAATATAACGCCTGAAAACGAAGAAACGAGAGAACTAATTCGAAGAAATTCAATCGAAGCAATTACTCCACAGCTTATGGAGGAGGAACAAGAATTAAAATCGAATAAGCAAGATATCGTAAATGATGAATACCCTCAGAAAGAACTTATTTCCACTCCTAAAATAAGCTTGGATAAAACCATAAAAAATAATGAAATATATTATTATTCTGACGAAACGTTTGATTCTGATCCTCTAACGGACATAAAAAGTAAGATATTAATATTCAGTTCAAGTTCGTCATCTCTTGAAATATTAGAATCACACAACGAGGAAGACGATAAAAGTGAAATCGGTGATCAGTTTAGTAAGTGAAATTCATAATTTCGAAGTAATATGAAATAATACTGTATATAAATCATTATCCATCGAATATGAAATTTAAAATTTTGCAGATGAAGATATAAAATATCGGAAACGTGAACAGAATAAAGAAAAAGGATGTATATTTGAGGTTCGAACAAGACGTATAAACAGCAAGCAATCATCAAAATCAAAAGATGAAGATTCTGAAACAAATACATCGCTTCGAACCGACTCTCTATCTTCTTTAATACCAATGTCGTCTTCAACAACACCAAGAACATCCTACACATCGGAGAATGATTCAAAATTAAAAGATAGACTAAAAACAGTTTCAAAAGATACTAAAATCAATAAATCTTTTATTTTAGATAGAGTCAAGAAAGAGAATTTCTATTTTAACGAAAACGAAACAATTCGCGAAACAGAAAGGCGAAATCGACACACTCAAATAATTCCAGAGGAATCTGTAAGCAGTGAGAGTGACGAATGGCCACGTTTACAATCTCGAAGAAGCAAAGAACATTTTAAACTTCTACTTCCAAATTTGTCGAATAAAACACCTCAATTACTAAGTCACTGGAAAGTTCAGGAGTGGCTGCAGCGGCAATAAAAACTTATGCCAGCGATATTGTTGATAACGAGTGTTATTTTCTCTTTTCAAAAGATCCTACATACGGTTCAACTCCACGATCTTCAGACAAACAGAAAAAATCTAAATATAAATCATTTGTTCGGATAGATTCACCGTTTCTAAAGGTAGACGTAGGTATCTTCTTAATTCCGGCAAAGGAAAGTGCAAAAATCAGAAAGTAAAATGCCTGTTTTCTATGATATCAAACGTAAAGAAAGTACCTCGTGGTCATCCTTTCAGGTTTACCAGAATACAAATTATGATCATCTAGTTCAGGGGTGGTCAACAGTTAACAGTTCTTGCCCCGGGCCGAAATGGAAAGAAAACTTTTTTCACGGGCCGAACCAAAGGCTGCCCTAGGAAGATTTTGAGGTGGTGCGAGATCTCATTGTGGTGTCACGCCGTAGAGACTAAATTGTATATAGAGATTACAGATACATTTTTCACATTATCAATGCAATTCTACGCTGTACTTAAGATATTTGTAATGGAGGGTTAACTCTAAACGCACAGTGAGTTGTTGCCTTTTTTTTTAGGCGTCAGAATTTTTCATCGAGCAATTCGGACTTCAGTAGTTAATATTGAAAGATTAATCGCGGGCCGCATAAATTCATTCGACGGGCCGGATCCGGCCCGCGGGCCGTATGTTGGCCATGCCTGATCTCGTTACAACCTAATTCGATTGGAAATAAATTTTGAACTATATTAGAGTTATGGTATAGATTTTATTCAGCCTACCAGTAGATAAAACCACTGAACACTGGTAGTTGGTCGTGAGTTCGCTCCTTAACGAGCTGGTCGCGCAGAGTTTTCCGGGTTTTCTTCGTCTCTAATTAATAGAGGAAAAGATGGTAGTATGGAATACTGCGGGTATTATGGAACCACTTTATTTCGAACTGATAATAAAGGCGAACTGTAACGGACTGTGGCTGAACTGAACTAAGCACATCCATAGCAAGGAGAAAACCCGTTTCACTTCAGTTAAATGGTTGTCCGTAGTGAATCAGCAAATTTGTGTTTTTCAAAATTCGAAAGTTTTGAATGCTAAGTGAATTTAATTATTTTTAAAATATAAATCGTGTAGTTGTAGGTTCACTGGTGCATGTATTCCGTTCCAGAGACTTAGGGGTACATAGTAATCTGTGATGATCACGTTTTTTTAAAATTTGGTCTTGACAGACATAAGTTAATTCAAGATGGCGATTCCATTGGTGCTTTTAATATGGAACCCAACTCCTCCGAACTCTATTTGTAAGCAGACATTCGTCCGGAGCAATTTGTGAAAAAAGTCACTAGGTAGAAAGCCAATTCTTCCTGAGAATATCGAAAAAGAGCTGCTGGAATATATATTGTTGATGGAGATCATATATTTCTATTAGAAAAGCATTTTTTCGATAAAATACATTGGAGTAAATAACTAATTATTTAACATTCTTTATACTTCCCTATTTGTTTTTGGATACATTAAAGCATTTTTTTGAAAACATACAGTAAGGTTCCATATTACCATCCGATTTACTCTAAGTCTACTTTCTTACTTTTTGTGCAAAAGCCTTCAAAAACCATACTTATAGTTACACTAGCGAAAAATCCAATTAGGAACATTTAGTTTAATTAATAGTTACCAGTACTTTTCGCACAAAAAATGTGGGTGTAGTTATGATACCTTTTTACAATTCACTAAAATGAAAATGGGGTTCCATAATACCACCTTCTCCTCTAATATAAAAGTTGTAATCTCTCTGTGTGTATTACTTATAACTCCTGCACTTTTTGACCAATCCAGATGAAATTTTGGTTATATTCGCTTTATGTTCTGACGGAAACTATAGGCTACTTATTTTGCGGAAATATTAGCTATAGAATAAACGTTTTATAGATTTCGGATCGGCAATCGCTCCTACGTTGCAAGTGAACTCATTTAGTTCATGCTTGACGACGAAATTTCCCTTAAGTTTCATTTTTAAATATTTTGGCAAATGGAGTATTTTAAACTTATTACTTCATTAAATTTAAAATTTAACTTTAAAAACAGACTCATCGTGTCACTTTTAAAACAAATTTTTAATAACCGTTAATTATTTAAAAAGTTTAATCCGCAATGGTCATTTTTGTACTATACGTGTGAGATTGCCGAGTTGCGCTAAAAGACAGAATGGAAGAGAGGCGCCATTTCATATGTGGGTGTGATAAACACCGAGTCAGATCAAGTTACAAAAATCGTTCCGATTTATTTAAACACAAAAATAAAGCTTACAGCGATAACATTCTTGGATCTGCAGGTGACGATTATAATCTTTAGATTCTTTCTCTTTTCATAAAGAAAATGTCCCACAAGAGAAGAATCTTTCAGTCCTCTGGAGTCGACTGCCACGGGACGTTGTCGTCTGATGAGAAGGTGATGTCAGTCCAGTTTGAATGGAGAATTCAACAAATTAAGACGCTATACAATGTGAAGTCAGAGAGAAACTGTCCTTGAAATAGAATTACTGTATTATCGTTTTTGGTACCAGATCCACCACTTCGATTGGCTATTTTTCCTTATCCCCACTTTCTAATTGGTCGTCATTCGTTACGAAGTGTAACGAGATTTGAAGTCAGATCGTGGGATGAGTCAAATCAAAATTGACGTTTAATTCGATTCTGATCGAAGATAGTTGATATTAGGACTTACATATAGTCTAATTTTTCTTTGTATAATTTCTGAGAAAAAGCTTCCCTCCTAAATTTAATATTTCCTTTTATGGACAAAAATTTAGCGATTTTTAAATTTTAGCGTGGTTCAGGGACATTTCCGGGGCCTCACATACGTATCGCCTTCTCATTGATATTTCGTGTCTTCTCCACTAGAAGGCTACTAAATTTTCGTAAGTTTTTGCTTACTCGTTAGATACTACTGTATATTTTTACACCGACTGATAAAATGCTCAAGTTCATGTACAAAGAAACGTTCTATCGAAATGCCATTATAATTCTACCTGCACAAAATATAAGCACTACATCAATACATTTTATTACAGAGAAGTTTCCATCTACTGAGCTGAACCTGTTTTTTTTTTTTTTTTACACACGTCAGCATTTCTTAAACTAAGAGGTCGCAAGCACTTGAGGGGTAGATTAAAAATTTTAAACCGTCGCAAAAATTAGAAAACTAAGGTTTATACATATGAAGTAAGTACGATATATAAAGAAATAAGTATTACATATTTATTAATCAGGGGCGGATCCAGGAATTTAATTTAGGGGTGCGCTTCACGTCAATATCGATATCCTTTATACTGTAGTTCTACTATAAAAAACTCTTTTCTACTTAGAATTTTAGGGAGTGTATGCGCACCCCATTAATAATTGTTAATGTTCGATATGTTTAAATTGTACGAAAAAACGTAAATCTTAGATTATGCCATTCAGATTTGTTTTACACCATGTAAGGGAGAATCGTAAAAACTTCAATGTAAATGGGTTTTAAAAATTGTTTTGTTGTAAGGGATTTCAGATAAAAAGTTTGAGATTCTGACTTAGGAGGACCTAGCTAAAAGTATCTATATTATCTCTTTGTTATTGCAATGAGAAGACACTGTGAATACAAAATTGAATTTTTCAATACCGGATATTTGTTTTCTCTTTTATGATCAAATAAAATTAATTTGTAAAGGACAAACATAATTTTATTGTAAAACTAATTCTGATATTGAAATGTTTGAGAAAAATTAATGTAATTGTAAAAAATAAATGTTCACTTCGTATACTTTAAAATCACCTCAGAAATTTTATTACACTAAAAAATATGTTTAACAACATTTTTATTCGATGTGCATATTTACTTACATTGGCTAAAGAAAACAATGGGAAAATGAATTCCCGCTGTATATATATATATACTCTGTTGAAAAAACAAACTGGATATTAAACATTTCAAATAAAAGATGTGATTGATTTATGATCAATTAATGTACAATTTGAAAAATTTTCATATATATATCGTGTGTATATATATAATAGATAATGTATATATACTCGACTTAAACATGAGTTATGCTATTATGAACAATGTAAATTCACATTTAATGCAATAAAACTTCTTTGGACACAGAAATAAAAATATATTCATTAAAATCTTTTATTCTGTTCAGTTTGCCAAGTAAGATTTTTGCCAACTCTAAAAAGTTTATTTACAACAACCAGTAGAATTTGACTTTTAACAGAGCTTATTACTATTGACACATTTTATAAAAAAAATTTTAAATAACATCTTCAAAATGATGCAATGTACTTAAATACTTGACAATCGATATCATAAGTTGAAACCAAACTGAAAATTTCTTGTTCTGATGAAAAATCTACTTCAATAATTTTTAATTTGGAGACTAGGCACACATTTGCATTGTTATTTTAGACAAATAATCATTTGTATACCAATGAAAATTTAAAATGAAATGATATATAAATAAATAAGAATTTCAAATTCTAATATTTACTTGTTTCAAGTGTAGTCAGTTAACTTTTTTCTTTTACCTATTTGTACTATGTAACAAATTTATCAAAGAATATCCAATATAATCCTGGAATTTCAGGTTAATTAAACATTATAAAATAAATTTTGCATTTGAAAATAATAATAATTACATAAGTAAATAATATTTGGTCACAGATTTATTTGTTCTTGAAAAAAGAAATATTTTATTTGAGCCAATCAAATTTCATTCATAAAAGTTAAACTTATACGTATAGTAACAACTTATACATAGTTTTAAAGTTTAGCCACATTAGGAACTGTGGACAATATTTAATTATAATTTGCTTTACTGTGTTTGATAAAGAAAAGAATTTTAATCAGAACAAACTCAAACTAGATTTTAAATCTGTTCAAAGTTTCTTCTAATTAAATACAACAAAATGTAATTCTACAGATAAAACTTGTGCTGGTGTTTACTTTAAACAAGGACTTAAAAACAAAAACTATTTTTAAATTAAGTAACAATATTATGAAACCATATGCTTTGATTTCCTACTATTTAAATTTTAAAGTTTATTTCAATTTTTACAGTGCAATATTTTCTGATATATTTTTTGTAAATATATTTAAAATCTGTAACCATAAAATATTAATTTGGTAAATTTGTTTTTTAGTTATAAAAAACAAATGATAACCAAACACATTAATGAATTATAATTATACAATTCACATGAAATGCAGTATAATTGTTATATCTGATATTTAATATAAAAGTATAGATATATTTAAGAAGGCAAAATACATCCATGGCAAGAAAACCCTGAAAAAAATAAATAATGATGCAAAAAAGCCTTTCAACCTTCTAATGAAATTTTTTTCTTAAGAAAGATGGAAAGTTTGATGATGTAACTTTTGACTTGGGTTTATTTTGGCCTTTATTGCTCATTAAACTCACTTCTTAATTTAGATTTACATTACATTCAGACTAAATGTAAAAAGTAATGACTGATGAGATTGTCTGGAAACAATACAAATTACATAAAAATGTTCTGTACAAAACAAGTCAATTAATAATGTTTATCTGAATAAACTTTGTGTATTAACATGTTTTTCTTTAATTATTTCAAAATAGTTTTTTTTCTTTTCGAAAACACTCCATATTCCTCTTAGAAACTGACTAAAATCAGACATAATGAATTACTGTACCTGTTTTGCAATGCTCTGTATTCGATTGCAGATTCACATTTTTATAAAAAGTACACAAAAGCCAAATAATACTAATTACTGTCAATATTTCAGAGGAACCTATAAATGTTAAATAATCATGGTCAACAAGGAGTGTTCTTAAATCCTTTTAAAATGATGAATGATCTACCAATAACAACAAGAAACATATTACATTGTTACAATCATAATTTTCAATCTGTACACAGGTACAAATCACATAATACTAACCACATAGCCACATACTTTTAGTCAGATACCCTATCAGTAATTGTAACCAAGCATACTATTCCAATGCCAGAACAATGTGGCAGATGGTTGGTCTGTCCTAATCATTTTCACTTTATGGGAAGACCACTACTCTGATTTCCTGCAGAACTTGCTGTAAGCATTAATAATATATATAAAATTAAGTATAATAAATATATAATGATAGAGAATAAAGAATTTATTTAATATAACCTACCTAATCTTTCTCCACCACGACCACCTCTGAAATAACTTCCTCCCCCTCTATTATATCTAGTTCCACCTCGTCCACGAAATCCTCCCCTTCCTCTCCATGCATTACGTCTCATCCAACTATTGTTTGCTGAAACTCCAAAAGTTTCTACATTTAATTTCCGTTCTTGACGCCAATCATGACGTTGAAAATTTCTGTTAAAAAAAATTCACTATTATTATCTTTTAAAGTTTTAATGTACGAATAAAAATCTAAATGCCAGATTTTTTTTTGGTTAGACTAACCAATGAAAAGAATAATTTAGTCTAAAGGTAAACAGTTAGACTACCACTTGTACTAATATTAATAATTACATAAATTTTATAATAAAATTTTTGTATATGTATAGAAAATAATGTTAACATCAAGTATTATTAACTTACCCTTTACTTCTCTCTGAGGAATCACAGCTAATTTTATCAAAAAATGAAATATTTTTATCATAATAAACTATTGCTTCTTCTTCTTCTTGGCCTTCTCTACCTTGTGTTTCATTACCAGAATCATCTTTCTTATCATCTAGTTTTAAAAAAAAATTAAACAATAAGATCAAAATAAAATAGTTACAAAATTCTAAATACTTCTTTTCAATTTAAATTTATTTATTTGCAATTATATAGAAAACTAAGTCTGAATTATATTAATTAATAGTCAGCAGAACTCATTATCAGGCTATACCTTGAATAAATAAATATACACTAAACAATTAACTTAAAGTTAATAATGCTAAAATTTGTAATAAGCAATTTAATTACAGTCGACCCCCTATAACGTGCGTTCCTGTAACGACAATTCATATAACGTAGCGAAAAAATTGTAGTAACATTCGTATAAAGTACCTCCTATAACGTCATTTCGCGACAATAGTGGATGAGCAGCCGAACTACTTTCCTCCGACCCTGCGCCACGCTACGGAGCGGCTAAATTGAGTTTGCTATCGTCTGTACAGTATTATATATAAATTAGGTACTGTACATATAATTATATATAAATTAGGTACTGTATATATAATTATATATTAACTTATTGTAACTTTATTATAATTAAATACATAATTTCCGCCGTCTAGCGTGGTGCCACGTTACGGAGATTTTAGGCAATAAGTTGAGTTTATTATCGTCTGTACAGTATGTAAATTAAGTATCGTAAGTCTAATACAGCACTAATTTTATACATTTCTTGTGAAAGAAACACTTCTTAATCAACAGCCATAAAAATTATTTACATTAATGATGTCTCCAAAGGTCAAGTTATTTTTCTGCGAAAAATTATTTATCAGAAGTCGCGGCCGTTTCGTGTGCTGTTCCGCGACGAAGACAAGCTTTGAACAACGGGCGTAGTCGAATGGTGCACACTCAGTAAGTAATCCTATAATTTTTTGTCTATAGCATAGTTTATACAGATTATTCCTAAAAAAAATTATACGTGTTTTGGAAATGTTCAGTGGAATTAGTCTAGAATCGGTTAATTTTATAGAAGAAAACCTTTCAAACAGCCTTAGTCCATAAAGTTCACACCTATCGGGCTGCGATTGTCTCATGTATTTAATCATTCCTACAACGTAAAATTCGATTAGCGTGGAATGTATCTAAGCGTTATAGGGGGGTCTACTATATATAGATATTGCAGATAGTCTGATAAACTATATTTACCATCATAAAATAATTTTAAAAACATTTTAAACTTTGAAAAAATAAATTTTAATTTTTCATGTCAATAGGAAAGGCTTGTGTGTCCTCCCCCTTGTTCCAATCACTGATCTACAGGTCTAATAATTTTGATACACCATTTAAATTCTCAAGCTGTTCACTTTATATATGTTTTTGTACATATTTTGGAAAAGTAATTTTCTTTTTCTAACAGCTTTTGTATCAAACATGAATTCTCTTTATTGTCTATATAACATTGAATTACATTGTAAACATCTATATTCTCAGCCTGTAGTGAATTTCAAAACATAGAAAGTGATTAACATTATGTCTTTTGTGTTCTTTTTATCAAATTTTGATGTTTCCACTATGTTTTTTTCCCTGAGATGTGTTTTGTAAGGAATATACAACTGTATTCTAACAAAATAGTACAAAAATAGTATTATTAATATATATTTACTGAATATTTTTGAATCTAATCTCACAAACTTTCTAATTTATTGACAAGACTTAGGATACTTAAGTTCACAATTTTATATATATTTTATTTATATATAAAATAAAAATAAATTAATTTATATTAAGTGAGATATCCTTTATTTCTTTTATGTCAGTTGGTGTGAAGAGACATCAAGAAATAGTAAATGTATGCAAAAGCTAAGTATCATAATATATATCAAAACTCTAAAACTGTATATATTTGTAAATACATTTGCTCACCTGCACATCGAATTCGATCACCAGTCTCTTCTTCATGATAAGCATGTAACTGATTTCCAGTACTAGCAGAAGCTTGAATACCATCTGTCAATTTTTCTCCTGAAGATCTATCTTTGTCCTCTGCTAAATGCCTTCCATCCTCTATGTAAATTTTTATTTTAAAATGCATTAACATCTGAACATCAGTCACATTTACTTTTAATAATTACATGTAATGTATATCATATAAATTCTTTTCATGATCAAATACTGTATTTTTGTTTTCTTGTAAAAAATTATCAAATGCAATTTATTTGTTAAGACATTTCTTTGTAATAAGGTCTTACTAGATTCTGTCACTAAAAATTTTCTTTGTTTTTTTTTTTTGTTATTTTATGCATCATGATTTATAAAATTTTTTAATGAAAATTAAACTATGTTCAAAATAGTGCTCAGATAAAAATTAGTGCTCGCATTCATTCACAGAAAAAATATATATAAAAGAAGCTTAAAACTTAAATTAATCAGTATTTGCACGTCATACTGTATAACTAAAAATGAAATAACTTGTTGAATACTAACAGCACCAATTTTTAATAAATAAATGCTTTCAGTTACAGTAGTAACTATTGTCAGGCTACTTATGTAGCTGAAAATGTTTATTAAAAATTGATGCTAGATTTTAAAGTTTATGTAATTTTTTTTTCTATGTTAACTAGTTATGTATATTTTTATTACACTTATAAACAGATCAAGCTTTATAAATTAAATATCACTATATATTACAGTAAAGCTTGAAATGTTCCATGGACTTATTAATGTCCAAGGAATAGAGAATGTGTTTTAAAAAAAGCAGATAATGCCATCTTAGAATTTATGTTAATAGCCATCATCAACACATTGAACTGAAATTGATGCATCACACAGCCCACACTATGGCTGGTGACACAGATAGTGATAATCCAGATTCAAATCACTCACTCTCCTAAACTTGTTAAAATTCATTCTAGATGATATTTCATAATAATACTGTAATATCATCAAGAATGCCAAAAAATAAAATGAAATAAACAAAAATATAATTTTTTTTTTAACATATAAGTATTAAATTATATATGTATGTCACTAAATTGACAAGCGCTTTCGATGATACACACTTTCGTCTTCTTTAGGGATCCTATATCCACCATTGAAAAATCGGGGGTTTATTCAGTCCCATTAGAGAATGTTTTAGGTGGTCGCACCCATTATATTGGTGCGACAACCAGAATGTTATCTAACTATATTTTAGAACATCAATATTCCATCAGGGAAGGCAGGAATGACACATAACTCGCCAGAATGGTGCTACAACACAAGCATACCCCTCTGTGGAACGAAGTATTAGTATGACCACTTCGGTCATACTAAGACATTGCAACAACAAAAATCTTGTATATATCTGGGAAGCCCTCATCACCAACATATTAAAGCCCTGCAACACCCCCACACTTGATATGCCCCCTTTGTGGATCAATTTGTACAGCTATATAAAACATTGCAACTAAATCCACAATATAGAGGCATCTAACGCATTCGCATTATAAACGCGCGTGTTTTTGTTTAAATATCTTCTTGTGTTCTACCGTTGCTGTTATTCCAAAATGTTAATTATGATTGGAATGTTTTAAAAATTTTTGTATTCGAAAAAAAGGATCTTATATCTTCTAATGACCTGAAGAAGACAAAAGTGTGTATTGTTGAAAGCACTTGTCAATTTAGTGACATACGTATATAATTTAATGCTTATATGTTAAAAGTTTTTCGTAACAAATGATTAGCGTGCTGTCTATCACAAAAATATAATAAACTCAAAAAATGTTTTTTGAGTTTATTATATTTTTGTTTATTTATTTTATTTTATTATTTATTTTATATATTGTATCTTCATAATCTATAAGGTCCTGACCTTATAGGTTATGAAAATATAACATGTAATAACAATTTAAATTGTATATTCTGGTAATCTGGAATGTTTTAAATATTTTTTGTTCTACTCAAATGCAAATGTTGTTCATTTGTAAGTTTATCCTAAAGAAGGTTGGTCAAATAAGGCTGAAAACATTACAGATTAACACGTTCACGGCGTTACAAGGCACATGTGACTCATATGGACATGTCTAGTTATGGCTACAGACATAATTGCTTGTTTTTCCCGTGGGGCAGCACATATGTTTTGATAACATAATTCTACAAACATTATATTTTATATATCAATATTATTTTATTAGGTGCAATAAAATATATTCATTTAATAATACAAAGCAAGGGTGACTCATGCTGCCCTGCATTAAAATAGACTATGAGTCACGGGTGACTCATAATGCCCAGCAGCTGCCTAAACGTTTATTTACTGACACTGTGAACATGTTAAAGTGATAAATGCAAATAATTTGATGAGTTAAAACATTAATTTTAATCTATTAATCTTAGTTCAATCTCTCACTACCCCCAAAATGCCCCAATATGGTGGAGGAGCAAAATATATCACAATGCAGAAGAAACTTGTTTTAAGTGGTTGCAACTAGGTGGTCCTATTGGAAGACTTGAAATACATAGAAATTAGGGACTTGATGCTTTGTTCTGGATGAAAGTGGTCCTTATGAGCGATAGCCTTTTAGAATGGTTTCATTGTACATTGTACTCAGGGGTTATGCTGCATAGTTCTAAATTTGCCATTGGCAATATTTTTATTAAAAAATATGAAATAAATTGAAGACAGTTAACTCAGCTGTCAAAATTTTGGAGTAAAGCAATGAATCTCAAACTGTGGGGAATATCTCTCTAATGCACGGGTTCCCAACCTATGGGTAGTGACGGGCTTTCCGTGGGGTCGCCAACTTATACAGTAAACTAAAAAAAATATTCACTATAATGCAATTTTTATTTTTAATGGTGTCTTGAAGTTTGAATAATTTCATATATTTTTTTAAAATTAAAATAAGTGTAATCTAGGTACGCTATTCTGTCACAGTTGGTTGAAACATGTGTTGAGAGTTTGAGAGGAATAAATTAAATGTTGAGAATGACATGAGATTGGCGTTAACAAAAACTCACCCACGAATTTTGAAACTGGTTAATAACATGCAATTTCAACCATCGCATTAAATTATTAAACAATTTAAAATAAAATTATAGTAAAAAAACTAATTTTGTTGTTTTTTTAATTACCTTATTAAAAATGCCTTTTTCAATTGTATCGGGGTCGCGGGACACTTGGCTTTTATAAAAAGGGGTCGCCACCCGAAAAAGGTTGGGAACCGTTGCTCTAATGGAATGAGATCTTTTCTAGGAAAGCATAAAGATATTACTATAAGTTGTGAGTACAACTCTTACATACACTCAATATTCCAACCACTATTTTATATATAATATAGCATTAAAAGCATTTGCAACTTCTGTTTTTATTTCATTAAACTTACTATATTGTAAGTTATCATTGCAGTTATGACCACAATGTAATCTTCATCAAAGTTTGCTTTCATTTAGCAGTAAGTAGGATTTCTCAAACGGGATCCTAGCTGTTTTTTTAACCCGGGAAATATCCCAGGAAATTCTGCAAATTTCTTAAAGTTCACTTTTTCTTTTTATTGTGTCAGGGTTGAGAAAATTTTGCAAATAGATAGTATAATTAACTCATAAACTGTCAGAATACAATATGCCCAGTAGCTTCAATAACTGCATTATGCCAGGTTGTGCAAATTGGGCAAGGATACAAACGACTACAAAATCTGTAAGTATGAAGTTTTTCTTCATAAACCTGATTATTAAAGCCTAAGTAACTGCCAAATTATTGGGCTATAAGCTTGATACCACTATTAAAGCAGCAAAGATAGACAAATCAAGAATATTTGAGAGCAAAAGAAGTGATGCAACGCATCTCAAAAATTAACTAGAAGTCTTCCAGGTTACAAGTGAATAAACACATCTGTCTTCTCTTAAATGCATTAAAGATGATTCCATCCATATCCATTGAATTGGAAAGGGCATTTTCAGTAGCGGGACTTTTCATCATTAAAATAGTAACCAGAGTGAGTGATCGAAGTATTGACCATCTTTGGTTTTCAAAATCTTATAAAAATTTACAATAATATTTTGTATTATGTTTTATTTAAAAAACGAAAATTACCTTCTAAGTTAGAAGTTTGATGTACATTCATTTTTTCTTTAAATTTTCAATTAAATTCAAAGGCATTTGTTTTTTTTGTAAGCAGTTTCCAACAAACTTTAAATTTTTCTATTTGTGAAAATTTCTACGTAATTCAAAGATAATTTTAATATATATTTTACACTGCATTAATATTATAATTTTAAAGGTTGCAGAATATATTAAATTACTTATAAAAATGAAAAATAATTATATATCATTTGATTTCAAGATATTTTTATATTTTAAAAATAATTAATTATATCCAGGNGCTGCTCACGTTGTTCAGTCATTTTCCAGCTTAGTGAAATCCGACGAGAGCGCACTACATGACCTCACTCATAGGCCGATTGCCAACGACTGACGCTTCCTGCAGGCGGGAAAAAATTCAGGGCTGTGCATGACTGTCCCCTCCACAACTCCACCGAAGGAGGCCTCTCGCGCATCATTGGTTTACGCGGAAAAAAAAGGTCCGATACTTTTTGAACAGACCTTGTAATCTTTGGCAACACTAACAACGAAAACTTGCTTTAATTATTATTTGTATTTAATTGGAGATTTTTAGTTTTGTCATTAGTTTGAATTCCTTACAGAAACATTACAAAGTCATCAACAATTAGTGAATCATATCTCAATAGACTAATTTTTAGATTAGTTTCACAACAGTCCAATTTGTCATCAGTTTCATTTTGCCATCTTTGATAATAATAATAACTGTCCCGTGGTCACCACCTGGTCATATAACTTCTAACAAATTTCTTGATAAGGATAACATTTCATTTGTCATATGGCATATTTTGTAATAATGCATTTTTATAGCACATACAACTGCATATTTTAAAACAAATTAATTTTAACAAATACTGAAATATTTCAGGATTCTTATTTGAAATTAAATTTTTTGATAATATCTAAAAATTGACATTTCCAACTATGAAATATAATGCTGTACAAAGAATAAATATTTACTTTCTTACAATGTAATTACTTATATTTTCATAGCTAAAAATATATAGCCTACTGAATGAAAATAAAGTTTTAATAAACTAAATTATAAATGAATATATTTAAAAAGTTATACAAATTATTATCTTGTTACAAACCTAATTTCGTCTTTGCAAGCTTCCCTTCCAGTTCTTGAAACTCTGCATTAGCCTGCTCAAAATCATATTCACTTTCAAACTGAAGAATATTTTTCTGTCTACCAGAATAATTTTGACGTCCTCGTTGATTTCTACCACGTCTCTGATTTCCTGATAAAAAATGATTTTGTGTAAAACTCTAATAAAATCAATATTTGATTAACATTTGAGATTATACAAATCTCAAACAAAGAATTCAAAATTTGATAAAAGGTCCAGAAACTTTATAAATACAAGAAAAGTTCTAGTCCCCAATCATGACCATAATGATAAATTACAAAAGATAGTAAAATGATGTTAAATGAAGATTGGAACTATTACAAGGTGTGTTCAAAAAGTATAAGACCTTTGGTCGGCAAAAATAAATTTATTGATTTTGATGTACAAAACCCTAATCCCCTTCAAAGTAGTTTCCTTGGTAATGTACAGTCAGTCAGTATTATTTATTAAAGTACAGCGTACATACTTGGTGTCGCGTTAAGCATGACCAAGGTAGAATACAGGATATATAAAGATATGTGACAAAGTAGTGACAATACAGTAGAGTGATGTAAAATATAATAATAATACGATACACAGAACAAACCTAAGTATTACAGAATACAGAATAAAAACAAATCAATACAAATGCAATACATAACAGAACAGTACAATACAGAAATAAAACATGACAAGACAATAAAAGGTACAAAGACATGTAAGTGATGTAAAACCAGAGTAGAAGTATATGCATAGACAGCAGTATGGCTGGGAGTAACATGTTACAAGATTAAGCCGTTACAAGTGACAATTTGCAGAATTTCTTCGCCAGTCTGGAGAAGGCGAGATAGATATCCTTGTTAGCAAGTAGGTCGGAGTGACGGCATGGCCAAGTGGTGCCAAGGCTCTGTGATAGGATTCTAATCTCCAGTCGCTCTGCTTCAAGAGTGGGACAGTCAAAAATGTAATGAGTCCCGCTGTCCTCAACTTGACAGAAAGGACAAAGACGTGAAGGATGGTTAGTGAAGCGGGAGAGATAAGCACTGAACTTTCCATGTCCAGTGAGAAACTGAGTAGTATGGTAGCTCGGCGCAAACCAGTCAAGCTTCATAAAGTCACTAATGTTTGGAATATAGTTATACGTAATGCAGGTGTTATTACTGTTCCAAATGCTTTGCCAAGTAGAGAGGGTGTCCCTCCAGAGGAGCTGGCGTAAGGTGTGCTTGCTGATCTTGTCGTAGATGATGGGGATGGTATTGTCCGTGGTGGCTGCTTTGGCAAGCTGGTCCGCACGCTCATTACCAGGAGTGCCCTGATGGGCACGAGTCCAGGTAATGGAGATGGTATTACTAGTGCTGTTGATGATGTTCCTGATCTCAGTGGCGAGAGTGTGTAGATTATTGCCCTTGATTAAGGTGTGTGCGGATAAACAGTCAGTGATGATTTGGATGCAGCTGGAGGAATAGTTGTTTGTAGACCAGAGGAGGGCCATTTTAATGGCAAGAAGCTCAGCTTGGAAAACAGTGCATAAGTGGCTGAGACGATATTGCTGGGAGTATACTTCAACCTGATTGATGTAGGCAACAAAACTGCAGGCTACAGAGTCGTGAATTTTGGACCCGTCTGTGTAGATTTCCACAGTGTAGATTTGTGAGGTAGAGTTATCGAGGATTTTGAGATCATTTTCACCAAGAATGGTATTAGAGAATGGATATGGAGACTCATAATTATGGCAGTTGATCAAACCGGCACTGGTATTAATTTCTTCTCCTCGTTTGATGTTTTGTAGCTTCCTGTTGAGCTGGATAATCAGGTCAATGGGGGGCTTCCTGGAGATGATTTGAATACTGCGATTTGAAGCAGTACGATAGCATTTAGTAATGAGCATAAGTGCCCGGCGTTGAGAAGAGATGAGTCTTCGCTTTATGTGGACTTTGTTGGACGCCCAACCCCAGCTGCCACAGGCATAAGTAACCATGGGAATATAAATCTGGTCGTAGATTGTGTTCATGGCACCTGATGAGAGACCCCAGGTTCTTCTTGCTACCTGAGCAAATGC